CTCATTAACTATAGTGTATTACTCATAATATATTTACTTATTATATGATCTAGTGTACACATAAAGAAATTTCAGAATTGGTACTCCAAAGTATTAAAATTTTAAAATTTAACTGAAGTTTTTTTTAAGAGATGGAGTCTCACTTTATCACTCAGTCTGGAGTGCAGTGGTACGATAGTAGCTCACTCAAATCCCTGGGCTTAGGTTATCCTCCTGCCTCAACCTCCCAAATTGCTGAGACTACAGGCAGGTGCCACTGCACTTGGCCCCAGCACTCTTTTTAGAAACAAATTTACGAACAGGTTACAGTGTTTAGTCTAACTCTTTTTGTCTGTAGCCTTACAATATCCAGGCAAAACCCTGTCACTTAGGTCATCGCCTTTCTTCCTCACACTCTTCAGTGCGCTTCATTTGGAACAAAGTTTGATTGACTTTTCACAGCCTGTGATTTATCTTGGGATCCATCTGTGATCTTATATCCTGGTTGATTTTTTTTCAATTGACATGGAGCACAATTTGTTCTTTGTTGTGCCCAGTTCTGTGTGTTTGGACAGCTGTGCGGTCATGTGTCCTTCACCACTGTACCAAACAGAACAGTTTATCCCCAGAGTTCCCCTGTGCTGCCCCTTTGTGATCACCTCCTGATCCTCTAACCTCTAGCTGCCATTGATGTTTTCTGTCCCTATAGTTTTTTTTTACCCACAAATGTCATATCAATGGAATTATGCAATGTATAATCTTTTGAAACTGACTTCTTCCTATTAGCATAATGCATTTGAAATTCATCCACATTGTTGTTTGTCTGAATAGTTTGTCCTTTTTTGTTGATGAGTAATGTTCCATTGTATGAGTGTACAACAGTATATCTGTTCACCTGTTGAAGGGTATCCAGGTTGTTTCTGACTTTAGGTGATTATGAAGTCAGGCATATTTTCTCCTGTGTTTTCTTCTAGAAATTTCTTCTTTGAATTTTCTTTCACCTTTGACAAAAATAGGTTGACTATATGTGTGTGTGTGTGTTTCTTGCAGGCTGTCTATTCTGTTGTATTGATCTATACATCCACACTGTCTTGCCTGTTGCTTTATAGTTAAGTCTTGAATTCGGCTAGTGTGAGTTCTACAACTTTGTTTTTTTTTTTAATTGTTTTGGTTCTTCTAGTTTCTTTGCTTTTTCTTAATTTTGAAAAAATAAGCTTATCAGTATTTACAAAAAAATTTTCTGGATTTTTGATTAGGATTATGTTGTTTATATAGATCAAATTGGAGAGAAAAAAATTCTATAATCCATGAATATGATGTCTCTTTCCTTTTATTTTTGATATCTTTTATGTTTCCTTGTTCTCTAGCACAGATTTTTATTAGATTTAGCTCTAATATTTTCCTTTTTCTTGGTGCTATTATAAATAGTATTACTTTTTAAAATTTAAATTCCAGTTGCTTATTGCTGTTATATAGGAAATATAGTTGATATTGTATATTGAATTCGTATTCTGTTATCTTGTGAAACTTACATACTAGTTACAGGAGCTTTTTTGTAGTGTTTGGAACTTTCTATATAGACACCTGTATCATATGTGAATAGAGTTTTACTTCTTCCTTTCTAATATGCATTCCTTTTATTCCTGTTTCTTAACTTTTTTGTACTGCCTAGTATTTCTAATATTACATTGGTGAAAAGACATCTTTACTTTGTTCATGATCTTATGGGGAAAGCAGTCAGTCTTTCACCATGAGTTATGATCTTAGCTACAAGTTTTTAAAACCTTTTAAATACCCTTTATCAGATTGAGGAATTTCCCTTTTGTGTTAGTTCCCTAGAGTTACCATAACAAATTACCACAAACTTGGTGACTTAAAACAATAGGAATTTAATTTTTTGTTTATGGAGGCTGAAATTGCAGTGTAGTAGAGCCACACTTGCTCTGAAGATTCTAGGGGAGAATCCTTCCTTGCCTTTTCCAGCTTCTGGTGACTCCAGACATACCTGAGACTGGGTAATTTATAAAGAAAAAGATTTAATGGACTCACAATTCCACTTGGCTGGGGAGGCCTCACAATCATGGCAGAAGACAAAATGCATTTCTTCATGGCGGCAGACAGGAGAGAAGTGAGAGCCAAGTGAAACAGGTTTCCCTTATAAAAGCTTCAGATCTTGTGAGAATTACTCACCACCATGAGAACAGTATGGGGGAAATCGCCCCCATGATTCAGTTATCTCTCACCAGGTTTCTCCCACAACACGTGGGAATTATGGGAACTACAATTAAAGATGTGGTTTGGGTAGGGACACAGCCAAACCATATCACAGCATAACTTCAGTCTGTTTATATGGCCTTCCGCTTTGTGTTTACGGTTTACAAAGATACTCTTATTGGAATGAGGGCACGTCCTAATGCAGTATGAGCTCATCTGAATTCTTACCTTAATTACATCAGCAAAGACCCCATTTTCAAATATGATGGCATTCTGATGTTCCAGGTGGACATGAATCATTCTGGAACACTATTCAACCTACCACATCTTCTATTCCTAATTAGCTGGGAGTTTTTAAGTAATGATAAATGGATGTTGAGTATTTTAAAGTTCTCTTTTCTCATCTGTTGAGATAATATCACTTTTTTTTTGTAGGACACTTCACCTGAAAATATCGCTTTTCTTTAGTTGATATTATGGTAAATTACATTGATTTTTTAAGTGCCGAACTAGGTTTGCATTCCTAGGATGTATGCCACTTGGTTGGCATATTTTTAATATATTGATGAATTTTATTTGTTGATATTTTGTGGTGGATTTTTTGCATCTATCAATGAGGGATATTAACCTGTAGTTTAATTTTTTTGTGGTATCTTTGTCTGGCTTTGCTATTATTAACAGATTGTCCCCATCTTAACAATTTTTTGACTTTATGATGATACACAACCATTGCAAATTTGACATAATGCATGGTATTCAATAAGTTACATGAGATATTTAAGACTTTATCATAAAAGAAGCTTTGTGTTACATGATTTTACCCAACTATAGACTAATGTATTAATAAGTGTTCTGAGCATGTTTAAGGTAGGCTACTTTAAGCCATGATGTTTGATAGATTGAGTGTATTAAATTCATTTTTGGCTTATGTTTTCAACTTAGGATGGGTTTATTGGGCTATAACTTTGTCATAAGTCTAACAGCCTCTGGACTAGCTTGATAACATGATTGGGAAGTATCCTCATTGTATGAAATTGATACTGTTTCTTCTTTAACTACTGAGTATAATTTTGCCTTCAGTTTTTTTAATTGGAAGGATTTAACTACCTATTCAATTTCTTTAATAGATTTTTAACTGCCCATTTATCTGTTTGTTTGTTTTTTTTCCCTGAATGAGTTTTGATTTTGTCCTTCAAAGAATTTGAATTTATGGGCACAGAATTGTTTATAGTATCCTTTTTACAGATCTTTGTGAGGTCTGCAGTTATGACTCCTCTTTTTTTTCTGATTTTGGTAATTTGTGTAATTGTTTTTTTTTTCCTTAATGAGACTGGCTAGAGGTTTTATCAGTTTTCCTTCCAAAAAAACCAGTTGTTGGTCTTACTGATTTCTGCTTTAATCTTCATAATGCTTCCTATCTTGTGCTTGCTTTAGTTTGAATTTGTACTTCTTTTTCTAGATTGTTAAGTTGAAAGCTTAGATTACTGACTTGATATCTTTCCTTTTTTAATATAAGCTTTTAATGGCTTAGATTTCTCTCTAAAGTTAAAGATGCATCCACAGTTTAAGGCTTTTGTTCTTTAATGGGGATAGAGGAGAAAAGTTCTGGTGTATGTTCATGCCCTCCACAGAAGCTGCTGTTTCCTTCCCTCTCTACCGTTAGAGAGACTTTCCTAGGACTCTTTCAGTATTTTCTGTGAGTGCCCAGTGATTCATGAAGATAAAATCTGCAACAATGGTGTGGATTTCGCCTACATTTGCAGCACCTCTCCCCCATCTCTCAACAGTGTATTCTTTCTCCACCAGTTGTGAAACCATGCTCACTGACCTTTTCTTACTAATGTCCTGCTATGTCTTGTCCATGTAAGCCAAAGCTAATGTCTTAACTCTCTGCACATACCTGTCTCATTAGTTTAGGGGGCAGTTGGTTGCCCTCTAATACCCTTATTCTGATAGAGTCAGAATACTTTATTTTGTTGTTGGAAGGTTGGAAGTGACATTCTTTCCAGCTCTCTTTGGCTTTATTTTAGAGTTCTTCTGCTTTTAGGTATTTAATAGTGTTTGTCTCTTAAGAGAAAGTTAATCACTTCTTGTTCTGATGTTAGTACTTAGTACTTGTATAACTGTATTTATCACATTATGCCGTAATTATTTACCAACATAACTGTTTCCACTATAAGCACACTGCTTGAGGAAAATAGACAAGTATATGCAAAATGCAAGATCTGTGACCTCTGTATACCTAGTTCTTCCTGATTGGTTGTAGGCACTTATTATGTGCTCATAGAATGTAATTATAGTAAGATTTTATTTAATTCATAACACAGTCCTGGTACTTTAAGATTCTGAAGAAATATTTGTTGAATAATTCGTGAATAAAATGGCTTATTTAGAAATGGATTTAGATTCTATTTCCACAGATTTTCAGATAGTTTTTTTTAAAGCTCAGTTTAAGTCTAATCATCCCTATAATTAAAGATCTTGCTGTGATTCAGACAGAAGATTCAGTTGTGTGAATTAATCCTTAATTGCTCAAGAAATGTTAATGGGGTCGAATTATTTTGTGCTCCTATTAACTTCTGGGAAAATATTGTTTACCTGAGATTTTCAAAGCAGTGAGTAATAAATTACTACATTTAAAATATTTTTAAAAAATAAAATAGGGGCAGCTTGTCACTGAAAGTGAAATTATATTTTCTTGATAGTATTTAGAAATAGGTTAGATTAAGAGTAATTTTAGTTATTAGGTCCTTTTTTTAAGTGAAAAATTAAAGATTTTTTTTCAGTTTTAACTGCATCTTTTCCAGATCAGATTTTCTCCAGTGGCTAAAAAGTTGTTTGTGGTAACTGCAGTGAGTGCTATATCTGTAATTTTTCTGGCCCATCACTTTAAAAGAAAACGTGGAAAGAAGAAAGGAAAAATATTACCATGGGAACCAGAGCACCTCATACTTGAACACACTAAAAAAGCAGCATCAGACAAAGGTATGTGGAAATAATTAAGTGTACAAAAGAAATTTTATGTGTAAATCATAACTGGAATACATTGATTTTGCTCTTTTAGTCTCCAAAATTTTCTTCCTAATATATTATTTAACTTAAAAGTAATACAGATTTATTTTAGAAAGATTAGAAAATGTAGATAAGCAAACAGAAAAAATTAAAATCACTTGACATTCTGCGACCCAAAAATAACTACTGATAATACTTTCATGTATATCAGTCCACTTAAATATCATAGTGAGACATAAAATTGTATATTATATAGAAGTAAATTATGTATTTTAAGTAAAATTGTAATCGGACATTTTGTAACCTGCTTTTAAGATATGTGACAGTAAGAATGTCTTTCCAAATCAATAAATATTCCTCTATGCAATCATTTTTAATGTATAACGAGTGTTAATTTTTACAAATATACCCCAGTTTATTTAATCATTTCCCCATTGTTCCCTTTAGGATGTTTGTGATTTTATTTTTATTTTGCATATCCCTGTCTATTTCCTTATCATGTAGAATTCAAGAAGTAAATTGCTGTCTTTTAAAGGATCTTTAATTTTTGTTAAAGATATGGTATCAGTAAAAATAATTTCTTGAGCATACTGAGTTTCTTACTTTTTTATTATTTAGTGATATGTAGTATGCTTTTGTGATTCATCTGTTCAGTATACAATTAATGAGTGACTATTTTGTACCAAGCGCAGTGAACATTCCAACAGTAATGATTACTGTCACTTGCTGAGATTCTATTGTCAGCTAAGTACCGTATATTCAGTGTTTTATTTAACCTTACAGCAATCCTGTGAATTTGGACTATGGGAACCAGAGTCTTGTTATTGTTATTGATTCTGTTTCCTCCATAAAGAAAACTGAGATATGCAAAAGTTAAGTGACTTGCCCACAGTCATATAATTTATAAGTGCTGGAATTTCAATCTAGGAATGTTTTAACTGCTGCATTAAGAAAAACTATAAGGCCAGGCATGGTGGCTCATTCCTGTAATCCCAGCACTTTGGGAGGCCAAAGCAGGAGGATGGCTTGAGCCCAGGGGTTTAAAACAGCCTGGGTGACACAGTGGGACCACATCTCTACAAAAATAAAAATAAAAAATTAGCTAGGTGTGGTGGTACATGTCTGTTGTAGTCCCAGCTACTTGGGTGACTGAAGTGGGAGGATCACTTGACCCAGGAGGTCAATGCTGCAGTGAGCTGTGATTGCACCACTGCAACGCAGCCAGGGTGACAGAGTGAGATATTTTCACAAAAAAAGAAAAAGAAAATCCAAAAAACTAAGATATAATGTCTGCCTTAGAAGAATGGATAGTTGGGTAGAAGAGACAGAAGTATAACTAATTATAATGCAATGAGATATGGGTAAGCTTTAGATGTAATTCAGAAAAGGAAATGCCTGTATTTTTTTAAATTTACAGTTTAACAAAATCATAAATTTAACATAGTTGCCGGTATTTTTATACTGATTGCAATAGATGATTCAAATACCACTCTTATTAATTAGGTGAATATTTTACTCTTCATTTCAGAAACGGATTTTAGTAGTGTTAAAAAAAGATTATATCAAGATATAGATTTTAATAATGGTGTACATTTAATAATTTACACAATTGAATGATCTGTGTTTTAAAATTAGAAGCTTTCTGAATGAATATGATATAAACTCTGAAATTTTTACCTGAAACTTTTCATTGGATTTGATACTTTTAATATTAGTATGTTTATTTGATAGGTTCAAGTTGTTCCAGTAGCAGACAGAATTTGACATTATCTTTAAGTTCTACCAAAGACAAAGGATCTCAGTCTTGCAACTATGCTAATGGAGGACTTTTCAGTAAATACTCAGGTTCTGCACAGAGTTTGGCCTCTGTAAGTACAGAAAAAATATTATTTTTTTAAATTTTTGTTTATAAATCTTGTGATCGGTTAAAGTGTCATATACTTATAGTTCTTAGTATGGAAAGAATCTTAAGAAATCATCTGATTGAATCTGCTTTCATCAGGCAAGTAAAGTATCTGCTGACTGTTAAGTCAATTTGGTTCTAGGTTTCTTTGAATAAGTGATCTGGTGCCATGGGGACCTGTGAAAACAGTGTTCATGTGGAAGAATTGCTTCAAAATGAGATGTTCTTGTTTTCACTTATTTGTGGGAGCTAAAAAATTAAAACAATTGAATTCATGGAGCTAGAGAATAGAATGATAGTTACCAGAGGCTGGGAAAGGCAAGTGGGGGTGGAGGGGAAGTGGAATGGTTAATGGGTACAAAAATATATGCAGTTAGAATAAATAAGATCTAGTATTTGATAGCACAATAGGGTGACTACATTTGACATAATTTATTATACATAAAAAAATAACTAAAAAGGTATAACTGGATTATTTATAACACAAAGAAGGGGTACATGCTTAAAGATGAAGGTGATGGATACCCCATTCACCCTGATGTGATCTTTATATGTTGTATATATTAAAATGTTTTATGTAACCCATAAATATGTACAACTATTACATATCCACCAAAATCAAAAATTGAAATTAAAAAGCGTTATTAATTAAAAAAAATTAGCTGTTCTTCAAGAAGCTGGACGATACAGCCAGACTTTGTGCTGTGTCACAATAATCACTTGATGAGCCTACTTAGGTGAAAGTGTTTGGTTTGGTGAAGGCAAGTGTGAGGTTCTTCACCTTCTTTCGATCATTAATACAGTATTGACTGACAAGTGGGAGACTGCCCTTCTTTTTTTTAAGCATTAATTTTTTTTTTTTTTTTTAAAGATGGGTTTTCACCATGTTGGTCAGGCTGGTCTTCAACTCCTGGCCTCAGGTGATCCACCCGCCTCAGCCTCAGCTGAGCCACCACACCCGGCTTTTTTGAGCATGAATGTTAATACTGATTGACAAGTGAGGAATGAAGTTAGTATTTGTTTAAATGTAATATGATTTAAACATTAATTTTAAAAATACGTAGAATACATACCTGCCATCAAATACAGAGCAGGCAAAAGAATATACAATGAGAGCTGAGTGCTATGGTGTTGCCTATAGTCTCAGCTATTCAGAAGACTGAGGCAAGATCGCTTCAGTCTAGGAGTTTGAAGACAGCCTGGACAACATAGTGAAACCTTGTCTCATAAAATAAAATAAAATAAAATAAAATAAAATAAAATAAAATAAATGTGTTCCTGATCCACTCATTTCCCCTCCCTGGACACTAATCAACATTAACAGTTTCTTTTTTTTTTTTGAGAGGGAGTCTTGCTCTCTAGCCTAGACTGGAGCTCAGTGGCGCAAACTCTGCTCACTGCAACCTCCACCTCCCAGGTTCAAGCGATTCTCCTGCCTCAGGCTCCTAAGTAGCTGGGATTGCAAGCATGTGCCACCACACCTGGCTAATTGTTATATATATATATATTTTTTTTTGCTTTGATTGTTATATTTTTAATAGGAGGTTTCACCATGTTGGCCAGGCTGGTCTTGAACTCCTGACCTCATGATCCACCCACCTTGGCTTCCCAAAGTGCTGGTATTACAGGCGTGAGCCACCGCACCTGTGCTGTATTCATTTTTTTCTTCATAGTTTATAGAACACCATATTCTGTTCTGTACCTTGCTTCTATATTTCATTGGAATATATAGCTGTCCTATTCTGTAATGCCTAAAAATATACTACATTTTTAAAGACTCTTCTAGGGTAGAAACAGCTAGATCAAAGGCCTGCAGACTTTCAGTTCCTCTGTGAAAGTGAGCAGCATAATAAGAATATGTTTATTATTTTTTTTTCTTGTCTTTTTGGCAGTGTATTGATGGAATATACCTACTCTTTTTTCTTTCCTTTCTTTTTTTTTTTGATATGGAGTCTCACTCTATTGCCCAGGCTGGAGTGCAGTGCTCTCTTCAACCTCCACCTCCTGGGTTCAAGTGATTCTCCTGCCTCAGCCTCCCAAGGAGCTGGGATTACAGGCATGTGCCACCACACCTGGCTAATTTTTGTATTTTTAATAGGGACAATGTTTCAACATGTTGGCTAGGCTGGTCTTGAACTCCTGACCTCAAGCGATCTGCGGCTTCGGCCTCCCAAAGTGCTGGGATTACAGGCATGTGCCACCACACCTGGCTAATTTTTGTATTTTTAGTAGGGACAATGTTTCAACATGTTGGCTAGGCTGGTCTTGAACTCCTGACCTCAAGCGATCTGCGGCTTCGGCCTCCCAAAGTGCTGGGATTACAGGCATGTGCCACCACACCTGGCTAATTTTTGTATTTTTAGTAGGGACAATGTTTCAACATGTTGGCTAGGCTGGTCTTGAACTCCTGACCTCAAGCAATCTGCGGCTTCGGCCTCCCAAAGTGCTGGGATTACAGGCGTGAGCCACCGTGCCTGGCTAGAATATGGCTTTTCTATAATGTGGACTTCCTCAATGTCTGAGAAGTGCCTCCTTTGAAATTCCTCAATTGAAAGTTGAAGCCCTTGTTGACTAGAAGTAGTAAGGTAAATTTCATGATAATAGTGTAACAAGTCTTTAGAATCACTGTACTATACTTGCCTAACTGAACTAGCCATTCCTCTGCCAGGGCTTCGAACTGCTTAGATTTTCTGTCTCTTAGGCAGTAGATAAAGTGTCGAAACAGGGATCATGATGTCAAAAGTGGAAAGGAGGGGACGGAGTCCACAAAATTTGGTGACTGAATATGAGAAGTGTGGGAAGAGACTTTGAAGATGAAATCCTGTTTTACAGTTTGAGAAATTATGGGAATGGAAACACTATTAGTGAGCTTGGGAGGAGGAAGAGGTTTTGTTGCAGGAGATGCTGAGCCCCTTTTTTGATATACAATCTTGAGTATATGTATGGCGCCACATTTGCTACATTCTGAGAAACGTGTCGTTAGATGATTTTCTTATGTGAACATCATACTGTGTACAGAAAAGAAAGTGCCTGTATTTTGTTAAATTTACAATTCAACAAAAATATAAATTTAACATAGTTGCCAGTATTGTTATACTGATTACAGTAGACTGTTCAAATATGACCCTAATTAGTAAGGTGAATAATTTATTTAAGAAGCAGCATAATCTGTACACTACATGTTGTAACCTGTTGCTCCTAGACTACAAACCTATACCACATGCGACTGTACTGAATACTGTAGGCAATTGAAACACAATGGTATTTGTGTATCTAAACATAGAAAAAGTACAGTAAAAATACAATTTTGTAATTTTATGGTAGGATCCACTGTTATATATGCGGTCCGTTGTTGACCCAGATGTTATGTTGAAAGTGTCTATAGTTAGTTTGAGATGCCAGCGGAAGAGCCAAATGGAGTTGCCGAAAAGGCAAATGAAAATATGGACTTAGATTTCTCAAAACTGAACTGGAATTAGGGATTTGAGAATCATCTGCATAGATATGATTGAAATGATTCGTTCAGTGGACCTTGCTAGGAAAGGGCATTTACAAAGATGATGGTGGCTTTTTATTTTTTTGAGATGGAGTTTCACTCTTGTTGCCCAGGCTGGAGTGCAATGGCACAATCTTGGCTCACTGCAACCTCCACCTCTCAGGTTCAAGTGATACTCCTGCCTCAGCCTCTCGAGTAGCTGGGATTGCAGGCGTATGCCACCATACCCAGCTAATTTTGTATCGTAGTAGAGACAGGGTTTCTCCCTGTTGGTCAGGCTGGTCTCAAACTCCCGACCTCAGGTGATTCAACCACCTCAGCCTCCCAGAGTGCTGGGATCATAGGCATGAGCCACCACGCCCGGCAATAGTGGCTTTTTTATTTTAGGTATCATTTAGCAGAGACTCAGCATTGTAAAACATTCTAAAAGAAAAATAAGCTAGCTACCTTAAATCAAAGTAGGTATAGATAAAATTTATAAGTAAATGCTTAAAACAATAAATGATATAAACATAACTGCCTGATTTCTGTTGGAAATAAGTGATTTACATTCAAAATATTCTACTTGTATATTTTTGAGCAAACAGGCTTAGAATAGTCATATGACTTCTAAATTTGATTGAATATCATCAGAATTGTTTCTTCATGTGGAAATTACATGGATTGTCTTACACTAATAAGATTTATATAAATAATCTGTAAATATAAAAGATCATAGCATACTATAATGAGAGAGATTTGAAGTAACTTCTGTCCATCTTAATTTTAGGTCCAGAGTGTCAATTCTTGTCATAGCTGTGCTTGTGGCAATTCTAATTCCTGGGACAAAGCAGATGAAGATGATATTAAGCTTGTTAATATTCCTGTGACGACTCCAGAGAACTTATACTTAATGGGTAGGAATAAGATGATAACATTTTAAGATATTGTGCTTACATTTAATTTGTTTTGTTTTTGTTTTTTATTTATTGAGACAGACAGGGTCTTGCTCTGTCGCCCAGGCTTGAGTACAGTGTCGCGATTGCTGCTCATTGCACCCTCAACCTCCCAGGCCCAAGTGATCCTCCCACCTTAGCACCTGAGTAGCTGGGACCACAGGTGCATGCCACCACGCCCAGCTAATTTTTAAAAAATTTTTTGTAGAGATGGGGTTTTGTCATGTTGCCAGGTTGGTCTTGAACTCCTGAGCTCAAGCAATCTGCCCATCTCAGCCTCCCAAAGTATTGGGATTAAGGCCTTAGCCAGTATGGTCAGTGGTAAATTGAAATTAAAAAACAGCGAATTGTTCTAAGAGAAGCAACTATAATTTTAAATGTTCTTCCATCTGTTGTTTAATCTTCATAACATCATACATTGTATTAGTTTAAACTAATACAACAAAATTAAAACAACAGAAATTTATTCACTCAGTTTTGGAGACCAGAAGTTCATTATCACCGGACTGAAATCAAGATGTCAGTAGAGCCATGCTCTCTCTGGAGGCTTAGGGGAAAATATGTTCCTGACCTCTTGCAGCTTTTGGTGGGCTTCCACCATTGTTTGGCTTGTGTCCACATCATTCCAATCTCTAGCTTTGTCTTCGTGTCACATTCTCCAAATCTCTCCCTATATCCCTCTCTCTCTCTCTCTTTTGCTTGAGACAGAGTCTTTACTCTGTCACCCAGGCTGGAGTGCAGTGGTGCAACATCGGCTCACTGCAACCTCCACCTCTGACTTTCAAGCAATTCTCAAGCCTTAGCCTCCCAAGTGGTTGGGCTTTCAGGTGTGTACCACCACGCCCAGCTAATTTTTTGTATTTTTAGTAGAGACGAGGTTTCACCATGTTAGCCAGTCTGGTCTTAAACTCCTAAGCTCAGGTGATTTGCCCACCTCAGCCTCCTAAAGTGCTGGGATTACGGGTGTAAGCCACTATGCCGAGTCACCTCTGTCTTACAAGGACACTTTTGGTTAGATTTGGGGCCCACCAGATAAATTAGGATAATGTCCCTGTATGAGGATTCTTAATTACGTCTACAAAGATGTAAGATGTTACCTTTATTTATAAGTTTACAGCTTCTAGGAATTAGGATCTAATATCTTTGGATGACCATTATTCAGCCTGCTACACTATCAACCTAATCTGTTGACTCTTATGTAACAAATCTATCAGAATTCACTTTACTAAATCTGTTTTATCTAGTAGCTATTATGTGTATTGTTATGTCTAGAAAAAAAATTTAAATAGAAGGAAGGCCTTCTGTGTTTCGCATCTCAGTGTTTCTCTTGACTTGACCATGAACATGTCTGCAGAGCCTCACTGAAGCCCTGAAGAAGAACCAAATGCACCTGTTGTTGAATCAAAAGATTCAAATGGTTTTCCCTGTTCTCTATGCTGTTTCAGGCTGTCTTCCTTTTAATGGAAATGCATACTAAATAAAAAACAAAACCAGTAAGCCTGATGTAGCCCTGGCCATTGAGCAGTAAAGGGACTGATGACTTGGTATAGAAGGACTGAGTACCTTGGAATGCATTCCCACTCTCTAGAATAGCTAGACTATATCATCTCCACTACCATCACAGTGGGTACTCCTATGAGGAAAGAAGCAAGAGTAGTTCCTTTGCCACCTATTCCAAAGGTCTCCAGAAAGTCAAATTCACTATGTTTCTAGATTATGTCTAGTAAACTTATACTCACAGCTTCTGTTAATATTGCAAGTTCATGGCTGAGTATGGTGGCATGTACCTGTAGTCTTAGCTACTTGGGAGGCTAAAGCAGGAGGATCACTTGAGCCCAGGAGTTCAGGGTTACAGTGAGCTAATTGTGCTACTGCACTCCAGCCTGGGTGACAGAGCGAGCTTTTTCTTTCTTTCTTTCTTTTTTTGTTATTTAGTTTTTCGTTCATAATCATAAACTTAACTCTGCAATCCAGCTAGGCATGGAAGGGAACAAGGAAAACATGGAACACAAAGAGAACTGCATGGAGAGCACAAAGATTCTAGGATACTGTGAGTAAATGGGGTGGAGGGATGCTCTCCTGAGCTACAGAAGGAATGGTCTGGTGGTTAAGATAAAACACAAGTCAAACTTATTAATGAGATGTCCACTGTCTGCAATGGTGATCTTCTTGCTGGTCTTGCTATTCCTGGACCCAGCACGCTCCATGGCCTCCACAATATTCATGCCTTCTTTCACCTTGCCAAAGACCACATGCTTGCCATCCAGCCACTCAGTCTTGGCAGTGCAGATGAAAAACTGGAACCATTTGTGTTGGGTCCAGCATTTGCCATGGACAAGATGCTAGGACCTGTATGCTTTAGAATGAGTTCTCGTCATCAAATTTCTCCCCGTAGATGGACTTGCCACCAGTGCCATTATGGCATGTGAAGTCACCACCCTGACACATAAACCCTAGAATAATTCTGTGAAAGCAGGTACCTTTAAAACCAAATCTTTTCTCTCCAATGCTCGAGCACAAAAGTTTTCTGCTGTCTTTGGAACTTTGTCTGCAAACACCTCGAAGGAGGTGCAGCCCAAGGGCGCACCATCAGTGGCAATTTTGAAGAACACGGTGGGGTTGAGCATGGCTGATAGTACAGGGTCCCAGCAGCAGCGGCATCTGCAAAGCCGCCCTTTTTCTTAAACAAAAAAAAAAAGCAAAACAAAAAACAAACAAAAAAACCCCAGAATATTAAAAATTCAAATTGAAGAGAAATAGAGCAAAACTAGAGACACCATAGGGGATCTTTGTGTTATAGGATTAAGATTGGTAGGAGTCCTGTGGATCACCTGGTATCGTCACCCATCTGTTTCAATTCTCTTTATAAAATTGATGACATTAAAAAGAGATTGGTGACATATGTTTGACTTGCTGTTACAAAACTGGATATTTGGTAGTCTGGGCTATATTCTATAGTGAGGTGGGACATGGTACTTCTTGAGGAGACAGCTTTTATCTTTGTATTATACAACTGTGCTGTAAAATAGTTCTTCCTGAAGCCAAGTGTGCTGGCACATGCTTGTAGTCCCAGCTACTTGAGAGGCTGAAGTGGGAGAATCACTTGAGCCCAGGAGTACAGGACCAACTTGGGCAACATTGTGAGACCCCCATCTCTAAAAAAAGAGACCAAAAAAACTAAAAAATAAAAAAAAATTCTACCTGTGTTCATATGTTCAGCCAGAATAATAAATGTGTAGAAGGGATAGTGTAAGAAAAGGATGAAGGAATTAGAGTTGTGTAACTTGGAGAAAGGAGAGTAGATAGTAATATAATTGGTTTTTGTGTTCATAAATGTTTTAGGAGGAAGAGTCAAAAGCTATTCTTTGCTACAGAAAATCGAATAAGAAGGAAAGGCCTACATTTCATTTTTAAGAAATTTTAGGCCAGGTATGGTGGCTCACACCAGTAATCCCAGAACTTAGGGAGGCTCTGTGGGAGGATTGCTTGAGCCCAGGAGTTTGAGACTAGCCTGGGTGACATAGTGAAACCTCATCTCTACAAATACATAAATATATTTAAAAAAAAAAAAAAGAGGCTGGGCGTGGTGGCTCACGCCTGTAATCCCAGGACTTTGGGAGGCAAAGGTGAGTGGATCACCTGAGGTCAGGAGTTCGAGACCAGCATGGTCAAACATGGCAAAAACCTGTCTCTACTAAAAATACAAAAATTAGGCAGGCATGGTGGTACATGCCTGTAATCACAGCTACTCAGGAGGCTGAGGCAGGAGGTTGCAGTGAGCCGAGATGGTGCCACTGTACTCCAGCCTGGGCCACAGAATGAGACACTGTTTCAAAATAATAATAATAATAATAATAAATAAAAAAGAAATTTTATTCATTTAGGATTGTAGGTTCTGAATCTGAAGAAATGACTTGAGAGGTATTTTTTAGCTACCATATTTTTAAAACATCGTGAGAATGACTTGTCCAGATTCTTAAGCAGCTTTTACATATCTTTTTCTTTAATATTTAACATTTTAAAAATACTTTAAAAGTGAAGTTTTAAACTATTTTTGTTTTGTTTGAAGTGCTTATTTTTCTAAGCCTTTTTAAAAAAATTATTTGTAGAAAAAGAAGCACATGTTCATCTGTTTTCCCACAAAGCTTTCTCTCAGCAAGGACATGAAATTTCTACTTGGACTATAACTGACTTTTGATAGGTTCATTCAGTATCTTGCAGATTTTTAACTCTGGCCCTCCAATTTATCCAAATCAGTCTGTTGGGATCATAGTGGTTCAGGACACCCTTTAGGGAACAAAAGGTGGAAAAGACTTTATTTTAGACATCTATATTATTATCTTTTCTTCAGCTTTACTTTTTTTTTTTTTTTTTTTTGAGACAATGTCTTGCTCTGTTGCCCAGGTTGGAGTGCAATGGCACGATCTTGGCTCACTGCAACCTCTGCCTCCTGGGATCAAGCCAGTTCTCCTGACCCAGCCTCCCGAGTAGCCATGATTACAGGCGCATATCACCACACCTGGCTGATTTTTAAATTTTTAGTAGAAAAAATTTTTTACACTATCTTACACTATCCCTTCTACACCATGTTGGCCAGAGTGGTCTCAATCTCCTGACCTCAGGTAATCTACCTACCTCAGCCTCCCAAAATGCTGGTATTATAGGTGTGAGCCACCTCACCTGGCCATCTTCAGCTTTGCTTTCTTCTTCTGAGAACTTACAAAACAGTAGCTTTTTGTAAACTGGTTTCTTCTGCCTGTTAGTTTTCCTTTTAATTTACAGGGATTAGTTGTGTGACTGTAAAAAGTAACTGTTACTCTTAAACTTTTGATGAACTCATGATATTATTTTAGAAAAATTCTGAGCACCATATACATTTGTGTTGTATTTTTAAAGAAATGAAAACATATTGGCCATTTTGTCCCTGATTTTTGGTTAACTGGAACCATAGGTTGAGAATATATTGGGAAATTAAGATTCTACCACGAAATGATGTGTGATTCTTTAGTGTCAAAAATTAGTCAGACTGTGCCATTGGTGATAATGTATGAAAGCATTTCAAACCCCATATAATTTTATTTCGGCATTGGTATTGCTCACTTAAAATTGTTCTGTTCTTAATTTTTAGGTATGGAATTGTTTGAAGAGGCATTGCGTCGATGGGAACAAGCTCTAACCTTTCGCAATAGACAGGCTGAAGATGAGGCCTGTGGTTCCATTAAGATGGGTGCAGGAGATGCCATTGCTGAAGAAAATGTAGATGTAAGGGTGATTTATTTGAGTGGTCTTCATAATATTATAAGAATCAAACTATTTTTTTTTTAATAGAGATGGTGTCTCACTGTGTTGCCCAAGCTGAGTCTTGAGCTCTTGGGCTCAAGCGATCCTCCTGCCTTGTCCTCTGAGTAGTTAGGACTATGGGCATGCACCACCATGCCTGGCTAATTTTAAAATTTTTTGTAAAGATGGCATCTCACTATGTTGCCCAGGCTGGTCTTGAACTCCTGGCCTCAGGTGATCCTTTCACTTTGACCTCCCAGAATGCTGGGATTATAGACATGAGCCAAGGTGTGCCTAGCCCAGGGTATTTTTTTAATGTTGATTCAGTGTATTTGCTTTGTATGGCATTTGATAGAACTATTTTTGTCTTCTTCCTTGGGACTGTGTGGGGTATTTCTTTTTGTTGTTGTTGTTCGTTTTTTTAATTTATTTGTGTGGGGTATTTCTTATTGGTCTTTTTCTATTCAGTTAGTTGTAAATGCCAGATTTACCATTCATCAAGTTTATTAATTTTTCCAGGATATGCAAAATAAGCAGACTGGTTTCTAAAGGATTTTTCTAAAGAAATGGGGTCTTGCTATGTTGCCCAGACTGTAGTAAAGTGGTTGTTCATAGGAACAAATCATAGTGCACTGTATCCCAGAACTCCTGCCTCAGCTCAAGCAATTCTGCCTCAGTCTCCCAAGCAGTTGGGACTGCAGGCGCGTTCTACCTTGTCTGGCTTGGAGTTTTTTTAAGTTTGATTTGTGCTTTGGGATTAATTGTTATTATGTTCATAATAACACATCGAGGTATAGAGCTGGACTAGTCCTTACTGATCATTTAGTTAAGCTAGTTATTCTCAAACTTAAGAATGCATAAGAATCACCTAGAGAACTTGTTAAAACACAGATTTGGAAGCTCCACCCCATGGGTTTCTCATTGACTAGGACTGGGATGGATCCCAAGAATTTGCATTTCTACCAAGTTCTTGGGTGATAATGAAGCTGCTGGCTCAGGGACCTTATTTGAGAACTCCCGATCTAGTCTAACTCCTTAATTTTATAGGTAAAGAAACTGAATCACTAAGAACTAAGGTAATTTTGCCAAAGACACAGCTAGAACCCAGGCCTCTTGACTGCTGCTGCTGTACTATTTCCACCATCTATGAGTAGTTTTTTTCACAGTGTTCATTTTCTTTGCCTTTTATTTAAAAGTGGAAAAATATATAGAATCTTAACATTAGAATTAAATTTGTTATATGTGCTTTTTCTCTCCTTGTAGGATATTATTAGTACTGAATTTATCCATAAACTTGAAGCTCTGCTGCAGAGAGCCTATCGTCTCCAAGAGGAGTTTGAAGCTACCCTTGGGGCATCTGATCCTAATTCCCTTGCTGATGATATTGGTAAGATGGATATTTTATATGCTTTTTATGAAATGTTTGCTTTTCTTTTATATTGTTGGAATTAATTGAATGAGTGTCTGTCTTATGTATTAATAGGTTACTTAAAAAAATAGCCAAGAGAAAAAAATTCTGTCATATTTCTTTTTTAATTTGTTTTAATTTTTAAATGAACTAATGACCTTAGGATATAAATTCAAGTACTTATCATAGGCAGGATGGTGACATTATTTTAAAATATATTGGGGGTGAAAAAAATTTAGTTAGAGTGTTGGAGAGAGAAAAGAATAAACAAAAATATACAAATGGGACAGAGACTCACCACTTCAGAAATGTCCATGTAATATTACTTAAAATATTTTAAAGAATTAAAGCTCTTGGACCCCACTTTAATTGCAGGATATCTGTTGATGTAAGTAGTCAATACATACATCATTATGGGCCATTACCTTTCTTTCTTTCTTTAAAGAGAAAAGAGTTTTAAAAAGTTGTTTGTTTGTTTGTTTTTGAGACAGGATGTCTGTATCCCAGGTGGGAGTGCAGTGACACGATGGCAGTGCACTGCAGCCTTGGCCTCTTGAGTGCAAGTGATCAACCTGCCTCTGCCTCCCAAGTATATGGGACTGTAGACACATGCCACCATGCCTGGCTAATTAAAAAAAATTTTTTTGTGTGGAGACAAGGTGAGGTTCTTTTTTTTTCTTTTTGAGATGGAGTTTCACTCACTCTTGTCACCCAGTCCTGGGAGCAGTGGTATGATCTCGACTCACCTCAACCTCTGCCTCCTGAGTTCATGCAGTTCTCTTGCCTCAGTCTCCCGAGTAGCTGAGATTATAGGCATGTGCCACCATACACAGCTAATTTTTGTATTTTTAGTAGAGGCAAGGTTTCACCATGTTGGCCAGGCTGGTCTTGACCTCATGACCTCAGGTGCTCCCAAAGTGCTGGAATTACAGGCGTGAGCTGCTGTGCCTGGCCAAGGTGAAGTTTTTGAATGAAGTCTTGGAAGAAAGGAATGATTAAAGGTTTTCTTCTTCAACTTCTATAAATGCCCCCAAAGAAAGAAGAAGACCAAATAATATGTTTGGTTTTTTTTGGGGGGGGGGGTCAAAAATAATTTAAGTCTTTCTAGTATGAAGAGGATTGTTGTTTTCCAATTTAAAAAAAAAAAAGCTAAGGAGTTTTAACTTTTTCCACATTGGTACTGAAAGCAGCTGCGTTTTGAGATATTTATATCTCTATGCATTTTGAATTTAGGTAAAAGATTTTGTTTGTATTAGAATTATGAATTTCTGTGAATATGTCATAAGGTTATATGAACTCTCTTTGGTCTCTACTTTGTCATACTATTATTGTCACCAAACATTATTAGATGAGTGTGTTTTAGTAGCTTCTCTGCTATTAGCATAGGCATAATGTTTTGACATACCTAGGAGATTAGAGTCTAGAAAAAAAAAAGTAGGCAGTATTCATATCAACAAATGTAATTTGTCAAAGCCTTATATTAATTTTTTCTATAGTTTCTTGTATAACTTTAATTAGAATGTCATTTATGATAGTAAGTAGGAGAAAGAACAGAGAAAAGGAACTTTTTAAAACCTCAAATGTAGAATGAGAATGGAACAACCAGAAAAGTGGCAAGGGACACCACAGAGAAAAGTAAGTAGGGAGAGAGGAGGACTCAAGATGACGCTGTGAGAACAACCCAGGATTGAAGCTCTCGGTGCATGCGCGGAGAGGGTGAGTCAGGGCCGCATTTCCAGACGGATCTTTGTTGCCCACAGAACGGGGAAATTCCCAGGTATAAAAGAGACGCGGGACGCCAGGCAGAGGTTTTGACTGGTGTAGCTGGCAGCCGGTGTGGCAGTGGCCCGTGCCGTAGTGCAGCGGCGCTAAACAGCGCCCTGCACAAAGCGCACTGGTCCGGGTGCCCTGTTGAACCGGCAACCTGAGACTTGAGAGGGCTGAACTTGAGACTGAACAGGACTTGGACAGTGAGCCAGCCCAGGAGATTCCAGGGACACAGCGTTTGGGGTAGCAAAGTGCCACAAACAAAATGGCGATTCCAAAAACGCTCCTGGTGGAGAGGTTCCCTGAGAGCGCAGCTCCGTGGGGGAGGGGCGTCCGCCATTACCGAGGCGACCCGCCCCTACTGAGGTACACGCCCATTGCTGACGCAGCCTGACATTGCCGAGGCAACCCGCTACAATAGAGAGACTCCACCGCAGGGCGTAGCCCGTAGCAGCCGGGCGGAGACCACAGCATAAGGGCAGAGCCTGCAGCAACAGGGCGAACGTCACACCAACAGGGTGGAGCCTCGGCAGGCAAATAGTGACTAGACTGCCTCCTAGCTGGGAAGGACAGCACAACGGACACTCAAAAATAAAGCCCCAACCCCCCCAGACAGAGCATATGAGAAAAAAAAAGGGTTTTCTTATGAGTTCTGTTGCAGCAGAATTAAACATAGCAGCCTAACAGCCCTGAATGAACAACAGAGCTCACAGCTCAGCAATTGAGCTCCTATAAAGTACAGACTGTCTCCTCAAGCAGCTCCCTGACCCCTCTATATCCAAAAGACTGACATTTGGCAGGCATCATTCTGGGACAAAGATAGCAGAAAAAGAAACTGGTAGCATCCCTCACTGTTCTGCAGCTGCTATAGGTGCACCCCAGACAAGCAGGGCCTGGAGTGGACCTCAGCAGTTGTACAGTGGAGGGGCTAGACTTGTAGAAGGAAAACCAAGCAACAGAAATGCTTCATCATCAACAATCTGGGCATCCATTCATTTAATTAAAAATTTTAAAAAAAAGAAAAAAAGATAAGTAAGTAGGAAAAAATTATAAATATAAGTAGGAAAGAGGAAGAGGATCCTGAGACTTTTAATGTCTTACTCTAGGAATGGAGACTTTGTCTATGCTGTCTAATCTTCAGCAGTTTCTTTTAGCATCATGATAAGGATCTGTGGATGCGTAATTTTTGTTCTTTTAGTCTTGTAATACGTATCACAGATTTGGTTCTGTTTGGCATGCCTTGGCACATTTTTTCTATATCCTTCTGTAGAGGTTGGCTGCGTCTGTCTCATGTCTTCAGCTTAAAAAGATTCCTTGGGTACAGTCTCAGAGGTCTGCTTTAGATTCTTGTTGCTTTTGGACAAGAAGACCTCTGGGCATGTGGCTTAGTTTCTGGAGTCTTCAAGTTGTTTCTTTTTTTTTTTTTATTCTTATTTTTTTATTGCATTTTAGGTTTTGGGGTACATGTGCAGAGCATGCAATACAGTTGCATAGGTACACACATGGCAGTGTGTTTTGTTTGCTTTCACCCCTTCACCCACATTTGGCGTTTCTCCCCAGGCTATCCCTCCCCACCTCCCCCTCCCACTGGCCCTCCCCTTTTCCCCCTAATAGACCCCAGTGTTTAGTACTCCCCTCTCTGTGTCCATGCGTTCTCATTTTTCATCACCTGCCTATGAGTGAGAATATGCGGTGTTTCATTTTCTGTTCTTGTGTCAGTTTGCTGAGAATGATGTTCTCCAGATTCATCCATGTCCCTAGAAATGACACGAACTCATCATTTCTGATTGCTGCATAATATTCCATGGTGTATATGTGCCACATTTTCCCAATCCAGTCTATCATCAATGGGCATTTGGGTTGATTCCAGGTCTTTTCTATTGTAAACAGTGCTGCAATAAACATTCGTATGCATGTGTCCTTATAGTAGAACGATTTATAGTCCTTTGGGTATATACCCAGTAATGGGATTGCTGGGTCAAATGGAATTTCTATTTCTAAGGCCTTGAGGAATCGCCACACTGTCTTCCACAATGGTTGAACTAATTTACACTCCCACCAACAGTGTAAAAGTGTTCCTTTTTCTCCACATCCTCTCCAGCATCTGTTGTCTCCAGATTTTTTAATGATCGCCATTCTAACTGGCGTGAGATGGTATCTCAATGTGGTTTTGATTTGCATCTCTCTGATGACCAGTGATGATGAGCATTTTTTCATATGATTGTTGGCCTCATATATGTCTTCTTTCGTAAAGTGTCTGTTCATATCCTTTGCCCACTTTTGAATGGGCTTGTTTGTTTTTCTTCTGTAAATCTGTTTGAGTTCTTTGTAAATTCTGGATATCAGCCCTTTGTCAGATGGGTAAACTGCAAAAATTTTTTCCCATTCTGTTGGTTGCCGATTCACTCTAGTGACTGTTTCTTTTGCTGTGCAGAAGCTGTGGAGTTTGATTAGGTCCCGTTTGTCTATTTTGGCTTTTGTTGCCAATGCTTTTGGTGTTTTGTTCATGAAGTCCTTGCCTACTCCTATGTCCTGGATAGTTTTGCCTAGATTTCCTTCTAGGGTTTTTATGGTGACAGGTCTTATGTTTAAATCCTTAATCCATCTGGAGTTAATTTTAGTGTAAGGTGTCAGGAAGGGGTCCAGTTTCTGCTTTCTGCACATGGCTAGCCAGTTTTCCCAACACCATTTGTTAAATAGGGAATCCTTTCCCCATTGCTTGTTTTTGTCAGGTTTATCAAAGATTGTATAGTTGTAGATATGTTGTGTTGCCTCCGGTGCCTCTGTTTTGTTCCACTGGTCTATATCTCTGTTTTGGTACCAGTACCATGCTGTTTTGATTACTGTAGCCTTGTAGTATAGTTTGAAATCCAGTAGTGCGATGCCCCCTGCTGTGTTCTTTTTGCTTAGAATTGATTTGGCTATGCGGGCTCTCTTTTGGTTCCATATGAAGTTCATGGTGGTTTTTTTCCAGTTCTGTGAAGAAAGTCAATGGTAGCTTGATGGGGATAGCGTTGATTCTGTAAATTACTTCAGGCAGTATAGCCATTTTCATGATATTAATTCTTCCTAACCATGAACATGGAATGTTTCTCCATCTGTTTGTGTCCTCTCTTATTTCGTTGAGCAGTGGTTTGTAGTTCTCCTTGAAGAGGTCCCTTACGTTCCTTGTGAGTTGTATTCCAAGGTATTTTATTCTTTTTGTAGCAATT